GGATCTCTTGTGAGTTTGAGGCCATCCTGGTCTATAGAGCGAGATCCAGGAAAAGCGCAAAGCTACACTGAGAAACCCTGTCTCAAAAAAACCAAAAAAAAAAAAAAGAATGTTCCACTTCAGGACATGCTAAACATCCCCTCTAAGGAACTCAGGGAGAGCTATTGTTCTCTCAGGTCCTCAGTTCCCACCCAGCCATCTCATACCAGGCTTCAGCCACGGCCTAGTAACATCCGGGTTGTACCTGTGCGGTATCTCTCACTCATCGGCCTTTTCTCTGTCTCATCTTGTCTCCTGCAGCTACTACATGCTGGAAAACAGACCCAGGAACATCTACGGCATGGTCTGCTACTCCTGCCTCTTGGCACCTCCCAACACCAAGGAATGTGAGTGCTCTGCCCTTGGACAGAACCGCTGTCTCGTTTAAACGCATTAGTGATGGCCTCGTGGGGCCCGAAATGTGCGCAGGGTTGCATTAGGGAAAGGAAGTCAAAGTTCTTCCCCTTGCAGTAATCTTACCAAGAGCAAGCTCGGATCCAAATCCTGTTCCTCTCCATGGGTCTTCCATCATCTCCTGTCTGTCTGTCTGTCTGTCTGTCTGTCTGTCTGTCTGTCAGATGAGTCTGAATCTGTGCCTGCCCACCGGCTGTCTTGTGACTCTGTCTGTTCCTGTGCCTGTATGTGTGACTGTCTGTGAATAGCACAGAAACCACCACATGGGGAAGGGATGAGGGAAACTGTTCAGAAACCGTTAACAGAGGTTTTACAAAGGATTGAGTCCCTGACTCCAACTGCCCCCAAGTGCCCCACGTAACAAACATTACTGTGAATGTCACTGCAAATAGACTTATCAACCTCTATCCATGCATTGATGGTGGATATGTTTTGTTAAGGTTGCTTTCAACCTATTTGCTGTTTTCAGCATTTATTAGCATAGCATACATAAGCACACACACACACACACACACACACACACACACACACATACGCACGCACGCACGCACGCACGCATGCACGCGTGTAACTCTCTGAGGGAGGGGCATTGTAAATGTTGATTTTGTGGGAAATCCAGGACATAGGAAGGTTGGTTGTTACATCGGTCTCTTTAAAGCAGATCAAACAAACAGGCTGAGCACACAGTGGGACAGCATTCTTAAGTCCTGAGTGACCTCACAGTGTATTATTAACTCTTGACTATGAGGTCCAGGAAAAGTTCTAGTCTCTTAGAGTGTTAAAAAAGAAATTATAGGGCTGGAGAGATGGCTCAGAGGTTAAGAGCACTGGCTGTTCTTCCAGAGGTCCTGAGTTCAATTCCCAGCAACCACATGATAGCTCACAACCATCTGTAACGAGATCTGGTGCCCTCTTCTGGCTTGCAGGCATACATGCAAGCAGAACACTATACTTAATAAATAAATAAATCTTAAAAAAAAAAAAAAAGAAATTATAGTATTGCCTCACCACAGGGCCCAATTTGTCCAGCACTGATGTCTTCTACTACTGGTGCAGAATGAAGCCAGTTCCAGCACCTAGAGAAGATTAGCACAGCAGTGGCTAGACATGGAGACAGTCGGCCATCAGCAGCCATTGTTTCTCTTGCAAAGGACTGCAGTTCAGTTCCCAGCACCCCCCTCAGGGGGTTAACAACCATGCAGCTCGGGGATCAGGGCATCTAGGACACGGACACACACACACAGACACACACACACACACAGACACACACACACACAGACACACACACACACACACACACACACAAATTAATAAAAATAAAATCTTTTTGAAAAAGACCAACACAACAAAGGAATAAACAAGGCATTGGCTTTGCTGTGGGCGAGAGGTTGTGAGTCAGACATTAAGGCTGTCACGCAGGCCGGCCAGCGGCACCGCTGAGGAGTCACTCGGTTACACCTTCTGTCTCACAGAGAGAGATCCCAAGACCTGATCCACTCAGCTTCTGGGACCACTAGGAAAGCTAAGGGGATCACAGACACAAAGATTTTTGGAAAATACTATAAAGTGCTAGACAATCTTAAGTTCTCATGTATACATAAAATTACACGAGGCCATGAGAAATGTAGAAATATTCTTAAGTTATCAAGAAATGAAATATCATCCAAAAACTACAACTATTAGCCTCACGGGTTTATAACCTTCCATGGGCTGCTGCTTTTCTGGTCTCCTTATGGTCCATCTTTCATTTGTGGAGAAGGGCCCTCCCTCTGTTTCAGAGGATTCTAATGGATGGTTTCTTGGACTTGGCGACATGGTCTAATAAATGTAGAAATGTTCTGAAGCCGGGGCCCTTAGCCAGCATCCAAATGTCAAACTTACTAAAAGTGTGTTTGGGGACCACCCAGACCTGCTATGGAGGGAAGATGAGGGAAAGCTAGAAGGAGGCTAGCCTCATCATCTACCCATGCTCTACAAGAAGGGAAAAAAAGAAAAGAAGCCCGTTCCTGGAACCAGCCTGGGATGAGGCCCATCCACCCTTAAGTCACAATTGTACCTTCAAGGAGAATGTAGTAGGGACCTCCTCCTTAAAAGGTCAGGTGATAGGAATGGAAGAATGTCACCTCCCTGCTGGTGAGGCCCCACAAAGCAATTATGTGACTAGGCAGGATGCCTGGAAGCAGGGATGCTAGAAGTTAGGGAATCCGAGGGCCAGGCCATTCTCTGCATTCCAAATAGGTTGGCAATTGGAATAGATTTGCATGTGTTTAAAATTGAACTTCCTACCTGTCATATGCTAATTAATTTACAAATTGGAGGAGGCCCTGGGGCTCCTGGCTGCCAGCCTGGCCTGTGGTGAAGTCAGCTGCCATTGCTAATGTGTCTTCTGTAGGGAAATCTATGTGGATTAAATGCCAGATGATTCTGCGATGAGGTTCTCACCTGAGGGGAAGATATCAGGACCACACCACCTATCAGAAAAAGTTCTTTAGCTAAGGAACCTGGGAGGGAGGAAGCTCCCTTCAGGGGCCCTCACACACATACATGCCCTTCCCTTATTGCCTGGGCAGTCAGAAGAGGCAACCGTATGCATCCAACCTGGGGAAAAGTAAGCCAAGTCCCTGACTCCTAGAGATTAAAAAACAAACCAAAAACAAAGGATCCCCTCCATCTCTCTACTCTTTAATCGCTTAACTGACAGCTAGATCCCAGGAAGGCTTCAGTGTGGGTTTTTATAATCCAGTCTTGGCTCTGGGGCCAGTTCAGCTCCCACTGGAGTCCTTTCAAGCCAGTCTCCAGGCATCTGTTTGCCCAGCCCAGGAGCTTGTCTGAGACAGATGTGGTAGATGGAGCACTGACTGGTGAGAGACTCCTTCAGAACGTCAAACAACTCCACTCTGCCCTTCTCTACTCTGGCCTCAGTTTGGAGACTGTGTTACCCAGGATGCATTGTGATTGGAAAGAGCACCTCTAACGACAGCCCTGTGAAATTAGGAGACCCATATGCTCAGTATTGTTGTCCGCAGCCCCACCCCAGGAAAGCCAGAGACTTGGCCAAACCTCGTCTTTGTTGGGCTCTTGAAGTCCCTGGCTGGTGGCCTAGGCTGCACCTCTTCCTGGAGGGTGGATTTCCTGGGCCTTGCTGTACCAAGTTGTCGTTCTTGGTGCTCTGAGTCAAGGACCCTGGGGCACCTGGTGGTGCAGCTACATGCCCAGGAGAGCTGGAGCAGGCAGATGGCCAGGGCCAGGACAGCCAGTCCAGCTACATGCCTGAATCAGCGCGAGGGTCTCCTCTTCAGGAAGGATGGGGGTCAGGGTACCCACCCCTCCCCTCACCCCACGTGACTGGGCCTGCACTGGCATTCTCAAAGAACTGGCCGCTTCTCTGGGCGCTGAACAGGGGAGTTCATGGGCTATGATTCTTATCGTATTCCCACGAACTGCTTGAGGTAGCACAGGTTTCTGGGTCTGCCTGTGACTCAGCAGGTCTAGGGGGCCCCCAAACACATTTTTATTAAGTCTGACATTTGGGTATAGGTTAAAGGCCCCAGCTCCAGGCCATTTCTGCCTTTGTTAGAGTATTTATCCAGCCGCATGGAGCTCTGTTTCCATCCCGGCCAGGCTGTACTCAGTGGTGTCTACCAACAGACTTTTGCACAGCCAGGGTGCATTAATGCTCACCAAGCGCTCTCGTAAACATGTCCTAAGAGTCCTGCTCTGCTGCTGTCACACACAGACCATCAAGGGACCCTCGGGAGGAATGAGAAAGTGACACGAGTTTACTTATAAAGTAGAAAAATGTTCCTGTTCCTGGATGGCCAGGATGCTGGGTTCCAGGTCGGTCCTGCCTCCAGGCTGACCAGCATCACCATCAACGCATGAGGCAATGGTACCCTGGGAGCCGCTTCTGTTTCTGCTCTCTCTACCGTATAATTGAGACAATACCTGCACACACTGGGGTTGACAGTATGTGGACACTGAAACGGGAAACACTAAACAGATGCAGCTGGCAGTCTTCCCTACACCACCACTGGCACCCAGCAACCTCTTCCCGGGGCCTTGAAGAAAAGGCCCCTCCCCTCCTGCCAGCAACAGCCCACTGGGAGAGCGTCAGGCCTCAGCCTCCTTCGCTATCTGCTGCCATGGGGCGCTGGCAAATCCATGTCAGACCGAAGGGACACCAAAGCCCTTCGATTTGCTTTTCCATAAGCCAAAGAGCAAGATGCACTTGAGCAAGGAGCTCTGTCTATGATTTCCTCTCTTCCACGTCATCCTGAGAACGCAGCTACCCGGACAGCTGAGTAGAGGGGCCTGTGCTGTGATGACCATTGGTCAGAGTTTGGAGGCGGGATCTCAGGGATGGAGAAGGGTGTGCAGCTCTCTTGGCTTCCACTGTGAGTTTCCGCTTTCCCTAGGAAAGTGATCTCATTCTCCGTAGCGCAGTTTCCTCTAAGGTCTTGTGTCACAAGATCTCTGTGAGGACAGATGAGACTAATGTGGACAGGGTGTGGGAAATACCCACTTTGGTGCTAGTGAAATATCCCAGTGCAGCGGGCACAGGCTGAGCCACACAACGGCAGCCCTGTACTTCCAAGAGCTCCTCTGGGACAGAGTGGTTAGAGAGACAAGGACATAATGCAATAGAAGTACTGTGTGGTGGCAGGACCAGCCCTCACACCTGTTTCTCTGTCTCTCTGTCTGAGTGTGTGTGTGTGTGTGTGTGTGTGTGTGTGTGTGTGTACACTTAATCACCTGTCAGTGGCTAAGACCCTTGAGTTCAGTCAAGAAGAGAGTGGTCTTTTAGGGAGGGACACCAGTTAAAAGACGAGGCTTTGTGTGGCTTAGAGCCCCGTAGTGGATTCTGTTTGGCACCCATGTGAGCCTTGGAACATAAACAGGAAACCCTGGCCACCGAAAGCATAGACCCAGTCATTTCTCTTCACACCAGATTATGCCACATAGCACTATTCACACCAGACCACACCACATAGCACCAAGGTAAGAAGCAGGGTCTGGCAAAGCAAGTCAGAGCAGAAGCAAAGGCTGTGTTCCCAGCAAGCAGGCCTCTCATTTCCAGAAGCTAGTGAGGATCTGAAGCCTCCACTCATCACTCAAGGATCCACCGCCAGGGTGTGTGGCCAATGCCAGGGCTGCAGGGCACCTCCTTGACAACTCTAAGCACCAAATCACTTTTGAACATCCGAACTGTTTACACTCCGTGGAGAGTGCCAGCCAGCCTCTAATGCATACTGGCACATTTATAAATTGTGTGGATTAACAACTTCAAAGGCCCCTTATAGACCCTCATCTCTTTGAACAGAGGTATAACTCCACTAAGCCTTGTGCTTACGGCTCACTAAGTCCCCGAGGAAGGTGAGCCGAGCCCCTGCAGCCAGCCTGGGAGTTCATAGTGAAGTAGGCACATCTGTCCCTAACAATCTTGTCTAGTAATGGACCTCAAGTGAAAACTTCTGCTCATTATCTGGGACATCGGTTTTTACCAGCTTTTCTCGAACATTTCACCTTGCTCATTTTAAAGCCAGCGTCCTAGGGGAGCAAACATCCGTCTGTACTTTACCACTCAAAGAGATTGGTATGGCAGAGCAAATGACTGAGTGTAGGGAACAGGGTAGGGTGGACTATTTCTAGCTGCAAAACATTTTGATACTAGTGCAGAGTAAATCCACATCAGACCAGACACAACCTGACACAGGAGAATATGTATGCAGGGATCCCAGCATGCTCCTCTGGGGAACTTGTACCATGGCTGTGCCTCCATGATGGGCGATGCAGATGAACAAGACATCTTCCATGCCCTGCCCCCGAGTACCTTGTAAGGTGGGACGGTGTACAGAACCATGGCTGATGAAAGGTATGCCGTGAAGAGCACCAATAACCCAGGTCTCTAGGCTGGCTCTCTCTGTCTCTCTCCCTGAGTTTTGTCCAAACATACATCACACACAGCTTATTCAATACGATACAGCGTGTTCATAAGATGAATGTGCACACGTCTATAATGCTGGTGTGTGCTTTTCAAGGGTTTGGGATAATAGAGAGCAGGTGCTTGTTTCCTCTGGAGATTTTTTCCAACCACACTAAGAAACAACAGAAGCACCAGGGACCCAAGTTTGTCTCCCAAGGCCTGCAGGGACCCTCCTGCTCCTTAGCAAACCACACTCACTGCTCACTAGGAGGCCCTTTGGGGTCCCTGACGGTGATGTGTAACGATGGGGAGGTACTTGAGCAGACCTGTGTGAGGTCAGCCTGGCGGCCTGGGGATGTCCAGGACGAGGGTTTGCTCTGCTGATCTCACTCCCCTCTCACCTGGAAAACAGAGGACAAACGCGACCAAGTAAGACGCAGGTGGTTTTCTGTCGTTACTGTGCTCAGAGCAGGTCCTGTTTGATTTGTTTTGAGCTGTTTCCCATAGAGCACATGCCTTTCGCCTGCCTGAAGCAGGGCTGCCTGCCACTCAGAACATCCGAACCATGCACCCATGCACTGAGTTGTTCTGAGTCTCCTCTCTTGCCAGCTCTAGTTCTGAGAAGCCTGTCGGCAGGCTATGGGTTGCTGCCCTTCAGGACCTGCACGGCCTGGTTGTGAGCCTGGTTGAATCCATGTAATTTTGCTCCTTCTGCAACCCAACATAGGCCCCGGCATCTACTGCAGGACCCCAGAGGGAAGTGTCTGCCTCCCTGAAGATTCTGGAAGGGCCCTGAGGTCCATCACATAGAAAGGGTAGGGTGGAGGCCACGAGGACCTGAAGGGTTTGCTTGAGGGTGGCTGTGGGCATTTGGCTCCAGCCCCTGGCTTCAGAGGTCAACCTTCCTGGCATACCTCATCCCCCACTTCCCCCTTCTCAGATGTACTCAGCAGAGCATCCTTGGCTGGGGAATGCCTGGCAACTCCTGCAGCCCGTGCAGTCTGGGTGCTCCACTAATGCCAGCTGGGCTTCAGTCTGGGGACTGTCCAGTATATCGGAGCAAGGCAGAGCTGGCCCGAGCAGGTAGCATCTGTGGCTCTGGAGGATGTCCTTAACAAGCAGCAGCCCGCCCCACTGTTTGGCGATGTCTTGTAACCAGCCCTCCCAGGTTAATGGAATACAAGGGCATTTCATAAGTCTGTACGCACCACGCTGCCTCCATTGTTTCTTTCTAGACCATAGGCCTGGGTGTGTTTGCACCCCGTCCCCAGCCCTGTCACTGCCTTGGGCTGCAAGTCCTAGCAAGGAGGGACAAGAAAAGACAAAGATTGCTGGTGTCCACAAACACAGCCCTTGGCTTTTTTTTTTTCCCCTCTGCCCACATATCTTAAGCTCACTTGAGCCCCTAACCAAATCAACAGATCAGTTTCTTTTCAATGTCCTATTTGCTCTAGAGAAAGGAAATTAGATTCTTTTCAAAACTGGGTCAGGACAGTCCACCTGATGACATGTGATGGCTGCTTCCCGGTATAGTACAAATGGCAGGACCCTGGAGCTTGCCTTTGCTGGCTGGAGCAGCTGCTAGCCTGTAAAGGACTTGGTGGGGGTCTGTGAGCAGGAATGGGCACAGCCTGAATGTCTGACATTTGATAGGTGAGCAGGTGAATGTAGCTAAGTAGAAGGACCACCACTGGGGCCTCCCTCACCAGTTCCTCCTGAAGAGTTATCCCTAAAGATAAACTTTAGAAGTAGAACGTTAGGTGTGGAGCCTAAAGGCCACAGAAAAGCTTCCAGTCTTCCTCCAGAAAGATAAAGAGACATCTCACCCTCCCTGGGCAAGTGACTGTCCTCCTGGCCCACACCACAGTTCTATTCCTGTCTAATGCTGAGGGCCAAGCTACCCTCTGAATACCTTGGCACCTCACTGACGCACAGAAATCCACCTCCAGCCTGCCCTCGGCCTGTGATGCCCTCTTGCACATCCACACTGTTCATTCTCCATCTCTCTATTGGTTGAACTAGGTACACAGCCTGAGACAGAAGTCCTGGCCTCTCTCCACAGGGCCTCTCTCCATACTCAGCTAACTCAGCAGCGCATTCCACTACTGTGTGACTGTGTTCCTGCTCCTGGGCTGGCACAAGGCAGATGGCGGGAGGCTTTACACACAGCACGCCCGTGCTTCTCCCAGAACCTCTACTGTGGTGCTGTAGGCTGACCTCAGTGCACCCTTCAGGCCAGTTCTCTTGGCTGGCTGGGGTGGGTGGAAGGACATGTCTTCAGGGAGGTTGGTGGCCCTGTCTGGGCTCGTAGCTGCTTTTCAGAAGCATGGCATTACTTTATGAACCTCTCCAGAACTGAGAACCAGCAAGGACAAGAGAGAAAGAAATGAAAACATAACTCCCTCCCCCACCCCAGGGCTGGGGTCACAGTGGATGGGCAAGTGTTCTGCCTCTGCTGAGCTATGGTCTTTATCCCTTGACAAACGGATTGTTTTTATCCATTGACAAACTCAAGTTTGACCTAAAGAGGGTTATTTATCAGAAAAAAAAGTACTTGTAGTTTGTCTGATATCAAATCAGCTTCCATTTTTCTCCATGCTAGTGACAGTTTTTTTCTTCCTGCCCCCCACCCAACTTGGTTTCAGGATTCTTGAGACAGGGTCTCTCTATGTAGTACTGACTGACCTGGATCTCCCACTGTAGATCAGGCTGGACTTGAACTCACAGAGATCTGCCTGCCTCTGCCCAAGTGCTGGGATTAAAGGCGTGCATCACCATGCCTGCCCTTTTGTTTTTTCAGTGACACTTTTTTTCCTCTGGGGAGGGACAGTAATGAGCCATGGCTAGGAGGGAGAGCAGGGCACATCCATTCTTAAATGGTTTGGTGGAAACTATTTTAAAAACGCACCTTAGGCCAGGCGGTGGTGGTGCACGCCTTTAATCCCAGCACGTGGGAGGCACAGGCAGGCGGATCTCTGTGAGTTTGAGGCCAGCCTGGGCTACCAAGTAAGTTCCAGGAAAGGCGCAAAGCTACACAGAGAGAAACCCTGTCTCAGGAAAAAAAAAACAAAAACAAAAAACAAAAAAAAAAACGCACCTTAGGCTCAGCGTGCAGTGCACTGGAGGCCACAGAACCACCACCAGCACACAGAATCTTAGAGAAAATCCTAGAGGGAGGCACATCAGAGCTAAGAACCTTAATGTGAGGCTCTGCTGGCCCCTCCTGCTTCTGCCTCGGGTTTTCTTTTTCCGGTTTTCAGTAACAAAGATATATTGCTTTTATGACCAGAAAAGATATTAAGAACATATGTCCGCTCTCCATAGTTGGAAAAAAATTAATCAAGTATTATTCCCTCTAAAATACTTTTATAGACACATGCTATCCTTCAGAGGACATAGCATTTGTCTTGGTTCATAGGAAAACTGAGTGGATGAGGCAGAGCTGTCTTTTTATTTAAAGAACAAGAATCCTGATGGATGGAGAGATAGCATATGGGCTCTGCTGCTCTTGCAGAGGACTGGTGTTCAGTTCCCAGCACCCACATTGGTGGCTCACGAGCACTAATAACTCCAGCTCCAGGGGTTCCAATGCCTTCTTCTGGCCTTCACAGGTACCTGCACACATGTGGTGCATATACAGACCACACACACACACACACACACACACACACACACACACACACACCAATTTACAAAACAGAATTTCTAAGATGTCAAAATACTCTTGGGGGAACATAAAACACATTAGGAAATAAATAAAAATACATCCTCTTTGCCCCCCTCCCTGCAGTATGGTCCAGAAGTCCAGATTGCTTCACTTCACTGCGGTGTCTTATTTTCCAGCTTTGTCCAGTCTTTGCATGATGCTCTGTCAGATCGCTGAGGTTATGTGTTCTCCTTGCAGGTGTGGGAGCCACCTCTGGGGTTTCTGCCCACTCCTCCAGCACATCTGGGGGCAGCACCTTGTCTCCCTTCCAGCATGCTCACAAAGGTGAGGAGGGTGCCTAGCTGTGGGTCCCCTGGAACTCAGGGAGCTGAGAGGGAGCGAGGAGGGAGAGGGGACAGCTGTCAGCAATGAACACAGAGTCCTCCCCTCTTGTCACTTCTCCAATGTGACAGAATCGCATGATCACACTCAGAGCCCACCCCACTTCCCCACCAAGCACCTGGGGACAGCATGCAACCAAGAACAGTAAGACACATACATCACCCATCTCCCACATCTGGCAGTGTTACAGATGCACCAGATGACATCAGGAGGCTGAGCACCCTCGAGGGGCTCTGAGCTCTGCACCCCCTTTCAGATGGCCTAGGGCACCAGATGCCTGCCACGGCCTCTTTGGGTGACAGGTCATTTGGATCCTGCTTCATAGGAACCAGGTGTCCTGTTGGTTATTTTGGAAAGTCAGAGGGAGGTTTTGGATAGTCCCGGTATCCAAAGCGGCATTAGGGAACCAAGCAAACAGCTCCAGGAATAAGCGGCAGCCAGGCAGAAGTGGAAACAGCAGGAGTTGTCGGGTCTGTTCAGCCCTCTCTACCCTGGGGCTCTTGCTATTACTCTGGAGATGAGGTGCCAAGTAAAACCAAACCAGGAATGCGATCTCTAGCCAGAGGAATGGCCTTTTGCTTGGGAGTGCTTAAACCTGGACTATGCTGTCTTTGGACACTCGTTCATGGGCCTCTCGTCCTCATTGCTACCTTTCTCTCAGGATCTCAGAGTAGTAAAGCCAAGAGTAAGTGCCCCAGGAATGGCCTCTTGGTTTTGCATCCTGGTCTTCCCAATCTAGCACGCATGAGCCTACTTGACAGTGTAGGAGCAGCCTAGCAACCAAAGCACACCTTGCGGGCCAGGTCCTCGGGTCAAGTATGACCCCTGGAAGCATCCCTGTGACTGGGTCTTCTGCTGAGTGCTGTGGCTTGGAGGGGGGGGCCTTTAAAATATTTATCCTCCTCTTCCTGATGCCAGCAGAGCTCTCAGGCCAAGGACACCTGGCCACCGCCCTGATTATTGCCATGTCTACCATCTTCATCATGGCCATCGCCATTGTCCTCATCATTATGTTCTACATCATGAAGACTAAGCCTTCAGCTCCAGGTGACATCCCTGCACCCACACCCCTATTCCAGTACTCTGTCACCTTCCCTAAGTGAACCAGGGGGCTCATGCCAACCCCTTTTTCTCTTTCTTCAAGCAGCCTGCTGTACCAGTCCCCCAGGAAAGAGCCCAGAAGCACCAGCTAGCACACATGAAGAGAAAAAGGAGGCCCCAGGTCTGTACACCTAGCCCATGCTGCCCCATACACAGTCTCTAGCCTGAAGGTGGAATATGTCCACCTTGTCCTCAAACTTGACAGACCAGCCTGCTGACCATGTCTGATTCCAGGGCCCATGCTCTGGGGTGGAGGGTTGGGGGGGTGCCCACTTGTTCTGTCCCCAGGTCAGGTCACCAGGGATGTCTACTTAAAAGGAAACATGAAGGGAGATCCAAGTTCAGAGCCACAAGCTAACTCTCGCTCCCCGCCCAACTTCCATTCCTACAGACAGCGTGGTGGTGACTTTCCCTGAGAATGGTGAATTCCAGAAGTTGACAGCAACACCCACAAAGACCCCCAAGAGGTATGTAGAACAGGGACTTGCCTACACTCACTAGTGGGTGGAACAGTCTTAGTTCCAAAGACTGAGCTGCCAGCTGGGTCCTTATAAATCCTTGAGCAGCCAGGCAAACTGTATCAGTGGATGTACTGAATGGGTGGTGCCTGGCCTGGGGATGCTCCAAGGATGTTGGAGAGCAGCTTCCCAGCAGAAGGAGGCAATGTAAACTAGCACTGGATTTCTGTTTCCTCATTAACTACAGGAGCTGGTGTATGCTGGGGAAGGTGTAACATCTACCTGATACTCTCCATTTGCCCGCTCTCCCCATCCCCAATCTCCCAGATGCCCAAACCCTCTACCCTTCTGTTCAAACTGAGGAAAGACATGAATCTCATGATCCACACGTCCTGGTCAGGTTCTCACAGCTGCCAGCAATGCTTAAAATGCCTTAAAGCCCACAGCACATGCAACCAGGCCTAAGACTGGCCTTGTCACATCCTTAAGAGTAACAGGTTGATTCAGTCCCCATTTCCATAACTGGACCAAGATCACAGGCTAGTGAGTAACAGAGTGGGAGCCAAAGTCCAGGCTGTCAATTAGGCTTGGTGTAATAAGCCGCTGGGGGAAGAGATTTACCTGGTGGTATTTTAGCACATTTACCAAACACTGGATCATAGCACCCCCTCTGCTTTAAAATCAACTAAGAGGAAAGTCATTGCCTATTGTCCCCACAGTCATTTGGACTTGGTCCTTGCAGCTGTTCGGTACTGGTTCTCAGTGAGGCCCATAGCTTGAGTTTCTTCTGAGGGAAAAATCTGCATGACTATACTTGGGGAAAAATACACTCTTTGCGTGTATAAATATTAAGCTTTTGCTCTAAAGAAGGGTCAGGAGCCTTTTTGTCCCTTTTTGGGTCTTGAAAATGGGATTTGGGAGCTATGTGGTGATCTGTGGAAATGCCATGAGGTAATCTGTGAAGATACCATCATGCATTCCCATTTGCTTGCCAGATTAGTGAAGGGGATGGGCCAGCCACCTCCCTCGCAGGCCCTCAAGCATAATGACAAAGTGGCTCTGTCAGATGGTTTCATAACTGCTTGTATTTTTTCTTTTTTCTCTTCTTTTTTCTTTATTCTGGCTCCAGGGCTGTGTTTGCATATGGCCTTCAGTAACACTCAAATATAATGTGTGGCAAACATAATCCCTTTTTCTAAAGGCCTTTAGCTAAACCAAGGGGGCAAGCAGAATGCTCTGCAAAAAGAATATTGTTTTGCTTTTATTTTTGAATGGTTTGAGGACTTAATCTCTAACCCACAGGTGCCAGGTCCTGTGTGACCTGAGCAGTGAGCAGGGGGCAGCTGCTCATGAGGCTGGATAGTTGGGTGTATGTGATCACCCACCCTGCCTACCCTCTGAGGCTTTCTGTAGCTTCTATAAGGAACACATCTAAGGCCAGGCCACTAGTCAAGAGGGCCTTCCCTGACATTAAGGTGCAATTTTTTTGTGTGTTCCTGGTTATCCTAGGAACTCTGCACGGACTGAGTTCCAGCCTTCTCATCTTAATGACTTTACATGAAGACCCATGGTTGTGCTTGTCTTGCTGGAGTTAAGTACAGGAATCTAGAACATATTCAGTGAATCTTTACCAAACACCCGTGGTATCAGGCAGTGTGGAGAGATGTCAGGTGCAGTCCTCGATGGTGTCCCCAGCCTCTCAGAACCCACTGCTTCTTAGGAGCCCCATGCAAACATCTACAGGCCTTTCTGTACCAGAATGGCTTGTTTGTCAGGAAACAGGATGTCTCTTTCTCACCTCATGTCCCCTTACCTAGAGCTCTGGAGATATAGAAAACGCTTAAGGAACAAGACATTAGCCGGGCAGTGGTGG